CACTGCCCTGCAGCATTAGCAAGCGCTCCTTCCCCCTCTGTAGTTTGCAGGCAGCACCAATCCTGCCTGCTGGCAGCACCTCCCCACCCCGCAGTGTTTCAAACAGCAGCAGATGGGGGGGAGTTCCTCTCCCCACGCACTTTTTCCTTCGGCATCTCCTGAGCGCTCTCATTAAGACACTGAGCTTGAAGAGTGCTGTTTTATTAGTTACTCATTGTTGGCTGTCCCCTCAACAATATGTTATGAAATTATTTGTAGAAAAATGGAGCAAGACAACCTCTTGAGCTCCTTGGTCTGGGCCACAGAGTAGCAGCTTTGTTTTAAGGCCGTTTGACCTCACCTAAACAAATAAATCTGCTGCCTCATTAGGGCTCCCAGTCTGCATGAAGCAGCAGGAAGCTAACATATTTTTCTCTTTATTACACCTCAGTTGCAGTCTCACTACATGAATTAGAAACTCTAGATCTTCAACTGAGATTTGGGTCAAACCACTCTGTTTTCTTAAAATCAGTATCAGTTTATACAGGCAGAAATCACTGGACACTTGGCTATGGTAAAATTTTCTCTCTTGAGTCAATTTCAGACTGAATTTTAACTTATTTAATCCAAATTATGCATCTTGACCTCTTTCAGGTTCTTGGAGACCCTCTGAATGGCAACTAAGAATCATGGATCAGAGAAAATGGTTTCTAATAAAAAAGAGAATGTTGTATTGATCTACCTTCCTTCTCTACAATGCTTCTTTCATTATTAAAAAAAAAAAAAAACTATCTTAGAAAAGTACTTAAAAATCACATATTTTACACTTATAAATTTCATCAACTCCTAGAAAAATCAATCTCTGGTCTACTCTAAGAAATCTCATCTAATATTCATACTTCATATCAAACACTGTCCACTGTAAAATACATCAAGCTCCTGGCCAAAATTATAACAAACCTGGACAGCATCCGAAGTGCTACAGTTCCAGAATGAGAAACAATGCTCCTAAATGCAGCTGCTTTATTCTTAGACAGGCAGTTAAGAGGTTTTTTTTTTTCCTCATGTATATATTTAGGAAAACCAGAATGATTTAAAAAAAAAAATCTAAAGAGGGTCACTCAGTGGCTCCTGCACAGAGCCCTGAAAAGACCAAGGCGCTGCTGATGGCAGAAGTGCAAAACTTCACAAACCCACTGCTTCGGTAGGCAAAGCTCTACAGCCATGCTGATGCAGGTGAGAAAACACATTATGACTTGACATAACTGATCAATATGCAGATTAATTTCAACTTCAATAAGTAAAGAGCAGGTAGAAGAAAAATCAAAGAGCTATAATAAAACAAATGAGAGAAAAATGAAATAAAATTACTATCATAAGGAGGTCAGGGGAGGACAAGAGACAGACAAATAGGCAGGGAGATAAAGTGTGTTTGAGAGAGACAGAGAAGGAAAGGCCTCTTGAACAGTGAAGCATCTGAGCATGGGAAGGAAGCTGGGTTTGATCCAGGCAAAGACTGGGAGACTCTAAGAGGGACTGAGCATAAGCCAGAACCCCCAGATGCTTCCCTGCCAGCAAATGGAACACAAAAGTAAATAAGAACCCAAGATCAGAATACAGGTAGTATTTCAACTCATGCTAAGTCTTTACTTAGTGTACTGTCTTCTCCTGTCACAGAGTATGGCAGTGAGCGGCATGGGCATGGTGGAGAGAGAAGAAACGCTACCTATGTGAAATACATCATTATATCTATGTGAAATACAGCCTGTTACCTGTGCAAAATACACTTCTTTATCTATGTGAAATACAGCGTGTTACCTACGTGAAATACAGCATGTTATCCATATGAAATACAGCATGTTATCCATATGAAACACAGCATGTTATCCATATGAAATACAGCATGTTATCCATATGAAACACAGCCTGCTACCGTCTTGCAGCACATCAACAAGGGGCTCATCCTCTGGTGCCACACAATTTCCCCTTCTACACGTACTGTCTTGTAGGACACTGTCTCACCAAATTCATCCCAGAGCTCAAAAGCCAACTGTGCAGGAGGAGGAGTGTGTTTGGAGTTTTCCATGAGAACAGATGGCCTTAAAGGCAAAGGCCCAGGAAGGCTCTGTCAGGGGTGGCTCTGGAGGAGAGATTCTCTAGTGAGGAGGGGACAGCTTGCTGGAGAAGCCAGCCAGAATGCCCTGGTGGGTGACAGGACTGCCAGCAGCACTCACCTCTCCTCTGATGGTGAAGGGCTGTCGAGTCAGGTCTATCCATGACTCCTCCCCTTTTCCACAGTAACACAAATCCAATTACACGTATTTGCAAACCCATCTCCAGGGAACTCTGCACTACTGAATCCTGCACCTTCACCTCCAGCTCTGAGCCAAATGCTCATGGGCTTGAGCAAGTGAATCCTGGAACAGCTCCTCTGCTGCTCACAGTTGGCCTAAAAGGGCCATTTGTAACAGCATTTTTGTAATTTATGGGCATAAGCTGAACAACATCTTTGAAAGACTGACTCCCAGGTTACACAGGTATGACTCAGTTTACCCAGATATATCTGCAGGTAACTCTGGTTCAGCAATATTATCCTGAGAGGCTTTGCTCCTAATGCTTATAAACATCACTGCATGGGACATGTCTAGAGGGAATCGAGCAATCTGGGTTCCAGTTATGGCACTTCTCTGCCATGGTTTCAGTTTTTCTTTCCCAGCTTGGTATGTAGCATTCAAAACCTGCTTCCACAAAAGTATTTCCCATAAAATTACAAAACACCACTATTTTTGCACAGGGCTCAAAGAACAAAGAGAAGTCAGTTTTGCAATGTTGTTTATCTTCTTTCCCCAAATCACGATTCTATTCCTGCTCCTTTGAAGCACCCAGAAGCACAGGTTTTGAACTGGAATGCTCTGATGAAACCCATTTCACAGGGAAGGAAAAGCTGAGTTTCTTTCTCCTGTGATGACATTCCCACTATCATAAAAACAAAAGATAATATTCTGAGCTACTGTTCACTACTTTCTATTTCAGCTCTTCATAGCTGTGATGCAAAGGTGGCTCTCACTGCCAGCTCCAGGCTAGTTACAGTGATTCATACAAGCTTAACTCCTATAAAATTCCTTTGCAGAAGGACAAGTTCAGTTCACTATTCACCATCTGTCCTAGCTTGACTTCATAGTCAAACATTAACAAATTATGCTGTAAAATTAGGAATAGGAACTGTAATAAGGAGAAAGGAAGATTTATATCCTCTTTAAACTAGCTGTCCATGTAGATTTTGTTGAACTAGCATGTACTAAGCTGAGTTTCCAGCTAAATCCTCCACAAAAATGAACTCTTCAAATGAATTTCTTTTTCAGTACATTTCATTTCATTTCCCAAATGGGTACAGCTGATGTACTGTCTCAATGAAAATTTCTTTCCTTGAATTTTCATTATCTAATATATTTTTAAAAGCAGGTAAATCTTGAGAGTACCCTTATATGGTTTTGATGCAATGGGCAACTGTTAAACCCCTTGTCTCTTTTGGAAGTCACAGTCTGCACAGAAACCCCCATTTAAATGGGTTCTGTTCATGTTACATTTCTCATTCAGCAATTATTATCTCCTCTCCTGATTTAAACAACTCATTTTCCCTCATTTACCATGTCATAAATCCAAATAGCTGAACTCATACCCTATCTAAAACTTCATTTCTTAAGGAAAAAAAAAAAGCTGTGCTTACCTCTTTGGTAAAATTAGCTTCTGCTAATAGCTTAATTCATTTTCATTTATCCATTTCTTTTATCCTTCCTCTCCCAAGACTGTTAACATTTCTAAACTTTTCTTTTCAGTTAAACTTTTGATGTAACTTCTCAGATATTCTGGGCATCATCTCCACAGCTGCATAGAAGCTGCTCAGCACTCTTGAATATCATGTCTCAAAGATGACTCACACACAGCTTCATTTTCCACGTGCCCATAACGCTTGTGCAAACCTGGGCACGAATTCACTGCAGTTAAGCAGAGTCAAACCATTCTTCTCCAAGTACAACCCTTTTTCTCTTTCTTTGTCACACGTAAGTGAAACTACACAAAAAAGGCATTCCTAAAAATATTTCTACATGAGCAATTCTACTGTATTTCCATCAGCCAAGCCATGTGCCACCAGGATGGAGCTTTAGGGCTGACAGGCTGTGAGAGATAAAGAACCCAACAGCATAAGATTCAGTCTAACAATATTAGAACTCACATCAGCTTCACAACAAGCTCCCTGTGTTCCACTGGGCCTACAAAATTACCTCCAAACCTATGGCTGGTATCTTTTTTCACAGCATACACACTGCCACAGCTCTCCTCCACCAGTTCCTTCCCATCAACCCAATTCAGACATTTCTCTTTTCCAATTCTTCTACTTTTTCCTTTCTTTCTTTTTCTTCTTCTTTTAGGAAAATCTATTTGTTTCACACAAGAGCCAAGTGCAGTTCTGGAGACTTGATGAATAGGCCAGCACACAGACACATGGTTTGTGAGTTGCCATGTATCATCTGCCTCATTTATCAGTGTGGAAACTTGCAGAACAGCAAAGTGCATTGGCTCCCTAAGAATCCTGTTTCAGCCCCTGGGATAAAATCTGCTCCTCATGTTCTATTGTCCAATCATTTGTCAACACACTCAGATTTGCATTTTCTATTTCCTTTCTTTCTTATTCCAGTCAGCTGTAGGGCTCTTCCCTCGAGAAACACCAAATTTTCCACACTTAATTGATTTCTTATGTTGATATCATTGGCAATGTTACAGCAGGAAAAAAAAATAATGTGAGAAGTGAAATGTTAACTGGAATCCAGTAATTCTTCCAAAGTTGAGAAAAAAACCATAACAACTTGATCTGCTCCCATGCATTTTAACAGTGATAAAACCAGGATGGCTGCGGGATGGCACCCGAACACAACACGGTCGTTTGCCACTCATGGTTTTTTTACATGAATAGCGATCTAAACCCATCAGCTGATAGAGAAACGAGTAATTGGTGTCATTACCAGAGCAGACAAAGTCCTTCTTCTGCACCTCTGCCACCAGGAAGCCCCTGAGGCTGACGGGGGCCAGGCAGAAGGTGAACTGGCCGATGGTGCGGCGCTGCCGCAGCCAGTCCGACAGCCAGGCCAGGTGACAGTCACAGTGCAGGAAGTTGGAGTGGAGCCGCCTGCAAAAGACACAAAAACCTACAGTTAGTGGCAGTTTTTACAAAACATAAGCCACAAACAGAGCAATCAAGTACAAGTCTGCCAGGCTCTTCACTGCAGTCGCAGTAGGATCGTTGCAGGTTCTTGCTTGCAGCTGAGTCAGGGCCTGACTGTCCACACTGCCCTGTAATAACACCCCAGGGAATGGCCTGAAGTTGTGCCAGGGGAGGTTTAGGTTGGATATTAGAAAATGGTTCTTCCCCCAGAGGGTGTTTGGGCACTGAACAGGCTCCCCAGGGCAGTGGGCACAGCACCAAGGCTGCCAGAGCTCGAGCAGAGTTTGGATGATACTGTCAGGCACAAGGTGTGACTCTTGGCGATGGTCCTGTGCAGGGCCAGGAGTTGGACTCAATGATCTTTGTGGGTCCCTTCCAGCTCGGCATATTCTGTGATTCTGTGACACAAAGGCCACATATAAATTAGTGCTATTATTTATAAGGGCTTGGAAAAATGAAGTTCAATAATGACCCATCTACAGCTGGCCATTCTAGAGACAAGAATATGCAGAGTTCAAGATTGTGCCAAGTAAACACTTTGCCTGTGATTTTATATCACAAAGAATTGCATGAATGTGATATCTTTGAGTCAATTCAAAGAGTGGCTTGTCTAAATATGAGGACCAGGCTGAAAAACAGGATGATGGGTGATTCTTCCCTTTTCTCCCTCCTTTGGGGAGATGGGAAGAGGAGGAAGAGAGAACCCCCTCCACATCAGAGTCTATTGACACCTTTTGTGTTGCCTGTACAAATTCATCAATGCTCTTTTTACCGTGGCAATTTAATGTAAATATGCAGGACCTAGACAGGAATTTTTAACTCGTGTAGGATCTATCCATGCAGCTCCCTGTCCAGCCTGCTCCATGCCTGACACCAGGGATTTGCAGAAGCATTATCACACTGTGGGGAGAAGCACGATGTTCAGGGAGCAAAGCTGGCAATTTTAATAGCTACCAAACTTTAGGTCAAAACAAAAGCCCAGAACACTAATTATTTCATCTCCATAATCACTCATAGATTTGCAGTGTTACACCAAATGAAATGATAAAAAACCAGATTGAAAATCCTGTCAGAAATGGTTAGACAAAGCATTATTCACTCATGTTGCAGGCACACAATTGGTGTGCACCGGATTTAGCCTTGTCCATCCTCCAAATAAATTAACTGTCTGCCTGGGAGCTGTTTGTGCTGCACAGCAGCAGCACAGCTCAGCAGTGGCGCCCGGGCTGACAGTCCCCAGATTTGTATGTCTGGGGTGGGCAGGCACGGTAAAAAAAAAACCCACAAATCTGGAACTGAGAGTTTATCCTGTAGAGATGGAAGGCACTGCTCTCCTGGGAGCACTGCAACATGTAATTGTTCTAGAAGGATGGCTACAAGACCTTCAGTTTAGGGGTGGTGAAGCTATTTAAGTGAAGCTGCAGTAAGTTTGATTTCTAGTAAAATGTGTTAGTATTATGAACCATTAACCTGCCTTTTTGCTGAAGGGAAGAATAAATAAATACATAAATATAATTTAGCCAGAAATAGCCCTAAGTAAGACTTTGTTCTAACTTGAAGAGAGGCAGCATTTCATGTAAATCCTCAAGGTCTCATCCTTCCCACAGCAGTCAACAGTGATAGTCAGGAACTGGAACTGAGTTCATCCCATGCCATTGCCTGCATCCCCTGCACAGGAATGTAAAGCAGGCAGGAGTAATAAATTTCACAAAAAGGGGCAGTTTTCCAGTTCTATGAGTTGCTTTTTCCCCCCCTCACTAAATTGATAAAGATGGGCCCTGGGGTTTCCTGTTTCAGTAAACCACCACTGCTTTGCCTCAGCAGAACCCTTCTTGTAATTGCTCGAGTTTTTTTTACAGAGATACGATTTCCTCTGAGAAGAGACCACTTGGAAAGCCTACCAATCTTTACAAAGCAGCCCACTAGAATATATTTTTGATAATTATATTAATGAATACAGCCACTAAAAGACTTCTCACAGTACTTCAAAAGCATTATACACCAATTCCCCGTGAACATGAAAGGCACTGAAGTGATTTTGCACATTTTCAGTTTACCCTTAAATAAAAAAATTAAAAGAAATTATGCAATTACCTGTCTCAGCAGTCACACACGCAGAGACAACAGCACATTTACCATTAGGCAAATAGATACAGGGGACATGCTTTACCATAAATAAAGCTGTTTCAAGCAAAGGAAAGCAGATCAATAAAAACTAATTCCTGTCACTTCCAATCAAGGCTAAAAGATCAATGAAACTTAACAGCAGAAACGACAGTTAAGTAAGAATGGTTAGCACAGAAGAGCTGATCTTAGTGAAGGGTTCTTCAGGTGCTTCAAAATTTCTTGGCACTTTTCTCGTTTTTTTTGTGTTTTTTCATTCTTTGCCCTCAGAGGACACGTTGAAGGTGAATATACCTTTTATTTTTCCTTCTCAGCTCTAAAATGAGTAGATTGTTTTGAGAGCCATGAAGAAAAAGCTATTTATCCACAGAACCATCACAGCAGATGTAGCTGCTGCAGATGCAGCCTCAAATGTCCTGCTAATGGATCTCACTAGAGTGTAAAAGAGACACACAGGGAAAATATCCACAGCGCCCTGGGCCTCAGCTGAGGGATAAAGGGCTCCTCCCTGCTTAACTAACATTCTGACCAGGGATTTCCTACAAGGAAAAAAAAAAGCACACCTAAGTGTGAAGCTCTTTGAGAAGGTGTGCAGGCTGATGATGTTCTTGAAGGAAGTACAGTCATCAAACTGTAACATCATTCAAGATCCATTTGGATTGAATTTGCATCAACAGCCAACAGATTAAACGGTAAATTTATTTCAGCTGTTACACCTCAGACAGCTTTCTCCTTTCTTCACTGAGGTTGTATATTAACGCAGGAGAAACAGGCTATCAAGTGTGATAAAACTCAGGAAACTACAGAGAATATTAACAATAACATTTCCCCCCAAATAATATCCTTCTATAAATGTTTTACAGAGGTGAACAAAACCTGATGTTTTACATATGCTCAGCTATATGTTAGCTGTTAGGGTAGAGCTATCCATTGACTTAAAACTTGGTTAAATCAAAATGATATTAACCTGAACAGGTAATAGCCTGAACAGAAGATATTCAGAGAATATTAAGTAATATGTAGTGATGAAAACTTATTTTGGTAATAACTATAATTGATAAAGCATTAATTGGGAAAAGTGCTAAGATGACTTGGGGTAGAGGAAGAATTTTTAATATGTAGGAGCAACAGAAAAATTATGAAATGCTATTTGATTCCAGCATTTATCTTCTATTAATTGCTATTTTGGTGACTTTTCTGCCTCTGTTGAAACAGATAGAATGGAATAGAGAAACCCAAAACATTTTACTATATTTCCAGCTGTTTATACAGGACTTTTCAATTCATACATTGATCTGCAAAGGGTACTGTGTGTTATTTGGCAATCTTTGGAGACTGAAACATGCCCCTTGATATTGATGAAACTACCTTTAAAGAACATAAGGTGAAGGAATACAAATGCAAGTTTGCTAAAATTGCCCTTTTAGCCATAGACCCTAAATTAAATTTCCAGCAAATCCTTTTAGAGTGGGTCAGTATTCATGTTGTATAAAACGTGGCTCTCAGAATTCAATATAAAAGCTTCCCTTTATAAATCCTATTTATGACTTCCTTCCCCTTTTTTTTTTTTCTTTTTCTTTTCTTTTTCTTTTTCCTCCCCTTAATTACAGCAGAGGGGGATTAGTCAGTGTAAGTCTCCAGGGAGCCATAGACAAAGCCATCTCTGAAATTAAACTAAAGGGAAAATGGCAGAAGGCACCAAGCTCTGCTGACAGGCAAGGGTGGCTAATCTGCAAAAGCCAGGCAAATTTTCTGGAGCAGTGTGACTGAATGAGAAAAGGCAAAACTCCGGGAACCTCAACTCTACACCTTCATCTCCTTTATCCCTTCTCTTCTAAAAGACAAACACTTCCATTTAAACACATGCTATTCGGATCTAATAATGCCATCATTTAATGAAGAATGGAAATTTAAGTCAGGGGTTGTCTCGCACAGATTGACATAAGTAAGGGCTGTTTTTCTTCAGTTGTGTTAATTTATTTAATATGATTTTACACGGGCATATGCAGCATGCTTGAAGCATTTAATTTTTTTCAGTGGCACAGAATATTTTCAGGCTAGCTACTATTTGCCTTTCTTTGCCTTTGGAACTAAATACATCTTGGTTGAGTTGGAGATTCTGGAGGAAAACCAGATGCTTTGTGTAAACATGACTTTTACTGAAGATGTGTCTTGCCTAAAGCAATTTAAAGGAATAAGGTACTTAAATAAAATGGTTTTGGTAGGCTATGGCTAAATTATACAAATGCTCAGTCTAATTTCACATCTTTGTATTTTGGATTTCTAAAGATTAAAGCTTTTCCAGTGCAATGGCATCCAGCTAAAAAAGAACATAGATTTTATGTAAGAAAAGCTTTTATTAAAAATGCATCAGAAGCAGTAACTTTTTTTTTTCAGAGAGTATCTGGAAAATAGACTTTTTCACATTCTTTAAAAATGTCCTGTTTCACCAATTAGTATTCTGAATTTGAAAAGAACAACTAGGATATTAACAAAATTCAATAATTTGATCTATCTGAGCAGTTTTTATGATCTTGATGATGTTCCAGCCTGGAAAACATTTTACATTATGGATTTTCCCATGGGAAAAAAAAGAAAAAACCAAACCTGCCATTTCTGGGTAAATTCAAATTCTTGATAAAACTGTATCTTATTTCTGGATAAATCCTGTAAATGCCTGTCAGGGCCCTGAGGACCTTCACACCCCTGCCTGGGCTCCCCAGCTCTGCAGCCACCCAGGTCTCCAAGGCAGGCTGAGAGACTGAAATGAGATTATCATACAACAAAGAGCCAAAGAGTTGCTTTACACCATCATTATGTTATAATATTGGAAGATATTACTCACAGAGTCCTGATCTTTGGCATGTGATTGAAACTGGTAACAGGAATGCGGGTGATGTTGTTGTTGTTGAGGGTACTGTCAGGAGAAAAAAAAAAAGAGAGAAAAGAGAATAATAGGTTGGTTAATTTTTTACATTTCTTCACCAACACACTATTTACAGAAATAGTGTTAAAATCCCTGGTAATAAATCTGCCCCGATACCTCTGACAATTTGTGACATACCATGAAAGATATTATAAGGAGGAAAACAACCAACAGCAGCATGAGAATGGTTGATGGTCAGTGTTTACCATGTTGGAGTAACCAGGAGTGCAGGAGGTGAGTTTTTATTGACTACTGGAACAGCCCCAGACTCGCTGGTTAAGCTGCCACTTTGCTTGAAAACCTGGTGCAACTTGAGTGGAGGGACATCAGGCTGGGACCCAGCAGAGTGAAAGCTTTGCTCTTACAGGGCTCATCTCACAAAAAGAGAGCTGTTGGCTCTCACAGCCTTGTTAACACAGCCTGCTGACACGGACAGACAGCTCAAATTGCTCTTTGGAAACAAAAGGACGGATGGGCTCCCTTTCCTCGGCTTCCTTATGAAAAAATATATGGGTAGTGGAAGGGGCTGCAATAAAACATGTCATGACCCAAGCATGTAAGGATGGCTGCTGCTCTATCAGCTGAGCCTAAGGAGAAAATAATCTCTGCTGCAGGGAGGGACCCCCTTAGAGCTTCTTATGGAAAATGAACTGCCTCGATTGCCATCAGCTGAGTGTGCTGCTCCCATTTACGGGGCTCCTAATTATATCAATGACTCTCTAGCAAATTAGAAGCTATAAAGTTTATCAAGATGGCACAGGAAATGGAAAGCACTCCAACAGGGCATAATTGCCACGCTGCAAGTGCACCAAACCTGCAAAGGCCGTAGGCTGGTTTGTCGTGGGAATGGATGGATCTGGTGGTAACTCCGTGTCCCAGCATGGCCAGTCCTGCCACTGCCTGTTTGAAACGTGTGGGGCCCACAGCACCAAGGCATGGAGCAACCTCTGCTTTCTGCAAGGGGCACAGCGCTCCACAGGGTCACCTTGGCAGAAGAACACTATGATTATGGTGTATGTTTATGTACGTGCTGAAGAAAATACCTGCTGAAGCAACCTAAAGGCATGTTCTCCTTCCCTGCACTATTTACTTATTCCTATTTACATAGGATATTTAATCAAAAGCTCTAGGAGAGTATTACAGAAGTTAACCAGCCCTCTTGGTCATCTGCCAGTTTAAAAACACTTTTTACAATTCTGCCTAGAAATCCCTTGGCAGAGCCATCATCTACATCAGCAGATTAAAGCTAATTAGATTGTATCCTATTAAGACTGGTTTTTGGGTACACAGAAAGACACACAGGCATATTGGCAAAGCCAGGAGGTCACAGGGTAACCCAGCTCTGCACAAGCAGCTCAGGAGAGGGGTGTGAGCAGCTCTGACACTGCCAGCACTGTGCTTGTGCTGCTGCTGCTGCACTGCGTCCCAGCAGGAAAGCACTCAACCACTTTGTTAGCAGGATCATAGCTGGTATTCCAGATGGATACACTGGCAATCTGGAGCCAGCACGGGGGCTGACGTACCCATGACAGCAAACTGCACCAACAGAGCAAAATTCCCCTTCCTTTCCAAATCTGTGAGCAACAGGGAGTTATGTCAGTAAAAGCAGAGTCTTGAAAATCTGGGATCTGCATGTGAGATCTGCTGCCAGAGATCTGTGTCAGTCGAGTCCCACACATTCACACACCAGGCTGGGAAGAGCTGCAGGTCTGAGCATAGCAAGGTTTATAGTATAACAAGTAGTATTCATTCCAGATCCTCTGGAACACTGAGGCTACCAGAGACCAGGCAAGAAATGTGTAGATAAGTATTAGGATCACTGTGTGTACAAACTACCAGGTTTGTGTATTCAGTTCCTCAACAGGCAAGGAGTCAAACACAGCCTATTAAAAATTTACTGGCCAAGATGAAGAGGGAAACACTGTCAACCTGAGCAGTAAAGCTGCAAGCAAGCTCTCCCATCCATCAGCACTGTCTGCATCCCAGTCTGCACATCTCTGCCGTGCCGTGGCTGCAGTGCTGGCAGCGACACAGGCAGTACCAATGGACATCTGCAGGGCTGGGAGCTCTGCCTGGGAGCTCCTGCTCATCTCATGATGACAACACACACATCCCACTGTGGCAGATTTTATGGTGCAGAATGAACCTCTGTGCTGCACCATTGCTACTGCTCAATTGCCTTATTTACCCAGTGATGCAACCACAGCCCCGTGTGGCCAGGGAGCCAAAACAAGCCTGTACAACAATTTCAGAAAGTGAACAAACCCATTAAGAGTGTATAAATATTTACATCAACACACCCACCCCTCCAGATCCGTATTTATTTGCTTTTTGGGAAGTTCAAATAGGGCTCACAAATGGAATTTATAATTGCACCACCTTTTTTTTTTTTCTGTAAGCATAAAAATGTAATTCTGAGGCAAACCTCTGCCTCAGTTGCCTGTTACATTAAAACGAGCTATGAAGTCAGATGGAAGAACTTAGGTACAGAGTGATAAATAAAAACCACATGTAAAGTCAGCTCACAAAAATCAAATCCCATCCATAGCTGATGCCTGAATAGGTCACACATGGTGCCACAGGAGTCAGTGGAGGCCACAGGAATTCAAGAGAGGTTTTCTATTGATTTCAAAGGGACGTGGGTTGGATTCAGGCAGAATAGGCTGTGACAATGAGCTTCCTTCTGCAGAGAACACATCCCTGGCTCCCAGTGCAATTCTTCTTGTGGATGCAGAAAGGTCACCCTTTACTGTCTGACTCGATGATTCAGAAGTATTTTTAAATTTCTTAAAAAATTCTATTTAGCAGTCAAAACATTATTCCAATCACACAGTATTTCTGCTCACAAGATACCCAATGAGAGCAGCTCAGGTTTTGCAAAAGTTTCAAATATTTGCTTATTTTTAAATAAGCAACAGTTTCCCATAGTTCATCAACAAATATATAACCCTACTTCTAAGAATCCTAAGTCAGTGCTGAATAATTATACTCCTTAAACACAAATTTCAGGGATAACTCTAGCAGACAGCTATTGCACAGATGACTTAGTAGCATACTATTTCATTGATATTTAAATGTTAACCATAATGAAGGCAATAAAACATCTATGATAACAGCAATTATTTCAGAACAAAGGAGGCCAAACACTGCAAAGGGCACTAATTGCCAGTGAACTGCCTGCACTACAGCCCAGCTGGAGCTGCAGGAATTTGCCCCTGCAGAGCACGAAGCTCCCACGCAGTGGAAACTCACTGGCTCTGGAACGGGAACGTGCTCAGGTAGAGGTGTGCTCCAGAGATATTCTGCAAAGCTTCCCATCATGCCTTCCCAGCAAGCATTTTTTTAAGGGATGTGTCCTGATAAGGGTGAGTACACAATACAGCAGCATTTTAGCACAAGAAGGGAAAAATTAACTCTGCTCCGGTCATCTGCTAGCTGCTCCAAGGCCCCAGCCTCATCTTGATCCACCTAAGATTCAGAGCTACAGAGATTCACAAACACCAGGAAGCTGAGAGAAGTAGAAAACTTCCAGAATCTTCTGAGTCCTCCAACATCATATAGAGAAAATTACATTCTGCTGAGTTCTCGCCAGCCTTATACCTCCCATCTCTTCCAGAACCCTTGTCCCTTGAAAAAGCACTATCCTCTCTCTCATTTAGAAGTCCTCTCCCTGCAAACTATTCCCATCCAAAATGCTGAATCAGGAAACTGAGGTTATAGACAATATTATTTATGCCAGCCAACTTCCCACCTTGGGCCATGATCCTTGTCAGATCTTGCCAGCTCAGCAGGAGCAGGACTGCAGCAGAGCCGAGGATCCTCCAAGGACTACTTGGAAGATGCATAACGTGAGATCAGCAATCTCTGAGGTGGCACATCCTCCACCACTGTGAGCTGTCACAGTCCCACTGACTCCAATTTACAGCCCCAGAGGAACTGCTCTCCTCACTCACTCCTCTGCCTGTTGTCTAAACTGGTTAGAGCCACGTGTGGAGCTGCCTTCCTCCTTCTGAAAAATAAAGCTGATTTATAGCCCTTACTAATCAGAACTTCTCTACAGGAAAGAATGCTCAGTCTGCAATCCTGTCATGATTTGAAAACAATTACTTATCTTCTTCCTCAAACTTTTGGTGCACATTTTTCTTCTGTTCTGGCTTGCTCCAAATTCATGTACGCCACTGTATTTCCCTGACAAAGAGGTCTTAATTACAGACTCAGTGTAATGACATTAAAATCATTAACATGTAGAAATGACTGTCATGTCTGTGCTTTTAGATAATATTTATGCATTATTCTTCACATCTTTCTTCACCCTGTGGTATAGGAATACAAGTGTTCAGGACCAGATGAGAATTAGAAAAAAATTATACTTCCTAATGCTAGAAGAAATCACAAAACTTCTATGCAAGATAACCTGGGGGGGGGGGGGGGGGAGAAGAAGTATATATGTATAAATTTTGAATCCTACTAATACTACAGTATTTTACTTAAAAAGCGTAATACTTTATTTTTAAAATAAAGTATTTTATTTTAAAAACTCAGGAACTCTAAATATCATTTAATGTCCCTCAGACTCATCAGGTTAACAGTCAGCCATCAATTCTGTATATCACAGAGTGAACAGAGATCTTGTTTCCATTACTTGGACTTCAATTAATGTGATTAAGAGCACAAAATAAATACCAAAATACCTGTCAACCTTTTCATCTGAAATACTACTTTCGGTACAATATATCTGCGTGCTCTATTCCAGTTTAGTAGACAAGAACAAAAAGGATATTCTGGCAAGGATGTCAGAAAAAGGTTTTTTGTTAAACACACCACACTGTTAGCTGACAAAATCACCTGGTACATCCCATCTTAAAAAAAAAAAAAAAGTTACAATATCCTGGTTTTTCATGGCAAAAAGGAAAAACTGCTATGCAGATGTCCATTTCTGTGAGTACAAGGCATTTTCCTAATGTACACAGATCACTAGCTGAGCATCAGCA